TCTCACATAACAGTCGTATGTATAACTATAATGTCTTATTTGGTTTCTTGGAGTTTCACAATAACAGTCGTTGTATAACTGTAATGTCTTGTTTGGTTTCTTGGAGTTTCACAATAACAGTCGTTGTATAACTATAATGTCTTGTTTGGTTTCTTGGAGTTTCACAATAACAGTCGTTGTATAACTGTAATGTCTTGTTTGGTTTCTTGGAGTTTCACAATAACAGTCGTTGTATAACTATAATGTCTTGTTTGGTTTCTTGGAGTCTCTCAATAACAGTCGTTGTATAACTGTAATGTCTTGTTTGGTTTCTTGGAGTTTCACAATAACAGTCGTTGTATAACCATAATGTCTTGTGGTTGGTTTCTTGGAGTTTCACAATAACAGTCGTTGTATAACTGTAATGTCTTGTTTGGTTTCTTGGAGTTTCACAATAACAGTCGTTGTATAACTATAATGTCTTGTTTGGTTTCTTGGAGTTTCACAATAACAGTCGTTGTATAACTGTAATGTCCTTGTTTGGTTTCTTGGAGTTTCACAATAACAGTCGTGGTATAACCAGTAATGTCTTGTTTGGTTTCTTGGAGTTTCACAATAACAGTCGTTGTATAACTATAATGTCTTGTTTGGTTTCTTGAGTTTCACAATAACAGTCGTTGTATAACTGTAATGTCTTGTTGGTTTTCACAATCTTGGTGTTTCACAATAACAATAACAGTCGTGGTATAACCATAATGTCTTGTTTGGTTTCTTGGAGTTTCACAATAACAGTCGTTGTATAACTATATTGTCCTATTTGGTTTCTTGGAGTTTCACAATAACAGTCGTTATATAACCATAATGTCTTGTTTGGTTTCTTGGAGTTTCACGATAACAGTCGTTGTATAACCATAATGTCTTGTTTGGTTTCTTGGAGTTTCACGATAACAGTCGTTGTATAACCATAATGTCTTCTTTGGTTTCTTGGAGTTTCACAATAACAGTCGTTGTATAACTATAAAGTCTTGTTTGGTTTCTTGGAGTTTCACAATAACAGTCGTTGTATAACTGTAATGCCTTATTGGTATCTTGGTGTCTAACGATAACACTCGTGGTATAACTGTTATGTCTTATTGGTATCTTGGTGCGTCACAATAGTAGCTGTGGTATAACTGTAATGTCTTACTGGTATCTTGGTGTCTCACGATAACAGTCGTGGTATAACTGTAATGTCTTATTGGTATCTTGGTGTCTCACGATAACGGTCGTGGTATAACTGTAATGTCTTTACTGGTATCTTGGTGTCTCACGATAACAGTCGTGGTATAACTGTAATGTCTTATTGGTATCTTGGTGTCTCACGATAACAGTCGTGGTATAACTGTAATGTCTTACTGGTATCTTGGTGTCTCACGATAACAGTTGTGGTATAACTGTAATGTCTTATTGGTATCTTGGTGTCTCACGATAACAGTCGTGGTATAACTGTAATGTCTTGTTTGGTATCTTGGTGTCTCACAATAACAGTCGTTGTATAACTGTAATGTCTTACTTGGTTTCTTGGTCTTTCACGATAACAGTCGTTGTATAACTGTAATGTCGTTGTTGGTATCTTGGTTTCTTTGAGTTTCACGATAACAGTCGTTGTATAACTGTAATGTCTTGTTGGTTTCTTGGTGTCTCACAATAACAGTCGTGGTATAACTGTAATGTCTTGTTTGGTTTCTTGGTGTTTCACAATAACAGTCGTGTCTTGTAGTTTCAACTATAACCATAATGTCTTGTTTGGTTTCTTGGTGTTTCACAATAACAGTCGTTGTATAACTATAATGTCTTGTTTGGTTTCTTGGAGTTTCACGATAACAGTCGTTGTATAACTGTAATGTCTTATTGGTATCTTGGTGTCTCACGATAACACTCGTGGTATAACTGTAATGTCTTACCGGTATCTTGGTGTCTCACGATAATAGCTGTGGTATAACTGTAATGTCTTATTGGTATCTTGGTGTCTCACGATAACAATCGTGGTATAACTGTAATGTCTTACTGGTATCTTGGTGTCTCACGATAACAGTTGTGGTATAACTGTAATATCTTATTGGTATCTTGGTGTCTCACGATAACAGTTGTGGTATAACTGTAATGTCTTACTGGTATCTTGGTGTCTCACAATAACAGTCGTGGTATAACTGTAATGTCTTATTGGTATCTTGGTGTCTCACAATAACAGTTGTGGTATAACTGTAATGTCTTACTTGGTTTCTTGATGTCTCACGATAACAGTCGTTGTATAACTGTAATGTCTTACCGGTATCTTGGTGTTTCACGACAATAGTCGTTGTATAACTGTAATGTCTTGTTTGGTATCTTGGAGTCTCACGATAACAGTCGTTGTATAACTATAATGTCTTACTTGGTTTCTTGGTGTTTCACAATAACAGTCGTGTATAATAACTATAATGTCTTATTTGTATCTTGGAGTCTCACGATAACAGTTGTGGTATAACCGTAATGTCTTACTTGGTATCTTGGTGTCTCACGATAACAGTTGTGGTATAACTCGTAATGTCTTATTGGTATCTTGGTGTCTCACGATAACAGGTTGTGGTATAACTGTAATGTCTTACTTGGTATCTTGGTGTCTCACGATAACACTCGTGGTATAACTGTAATGTCTTACTTTGGTATCTTGGTGTCTCACGATAACAGTCGTGGTATAACTGTAATGTCTTATTGGTATCTTGGTGTCTCACGATAACAGTCGTGGTATAACTGTAATGTCTTGTTTGGTATCTTGGTGTCTCACGATAACAGTTGTGGTATAACTGTAATGTCTTATTGGTATCTTGGTGTCTCACGATAACGGTTGTGGTATAACTGTAATGTCTTACTGGTATCTTGGTGTCTCACGATAACAGTCGTGGTATAACTGTAATGTCTTACTGGTATGTTGGTGTCTCACGATAACGGTTGTGGTATAACTGTAATGTCTTACTGGTATATTGGTGTCTCACGATAACAGTCGTGGTATAACTGTAATGTGTTATTGTTGTCTACCTCATGTAATGAATACAGTTTCTCTTAAGGAAGCGAGGGGGAGTTCTGTGTGTCTATGCAGCACATACCAGCAACACTGTCAACACCTGTACGATGGGGTTGTGGTAATCACCAGGGACTAATTGTTTGATCGGCATTCTAGAAGTTGCTGGGTCAAAAATGAAGCATACAACTTTATGAATGATTTATTGCATAGAGCGACGTTTCGTTGTAGATTCTTACACCGTTATTAAGCTGCGTATTTTCCACTGGACACCTTCATGTATGGCGGGTCAAGCTATAACATACCCAGGTTCTTACCACAATTAGCATCTGATTCTGTTATCAGCTAGTTTTTGTCTAAGATATATAGAGATAGTATCCATGATGCAGCTATTTCCAAATCGACCGCGCATTATATTTCAGACTCAGTGAGATACCATAAGGAATGAATATCCCATTCAGACACATTGTACTAATCACGATCCGCCCGGTCGTTGTTTTATTTCATTGATGGTTAACGGCAGGTATAAAGAAACGGTAAGTACAACATCTTTAACCTCATTTTGTATGACGAAGCCAAGGAATCGAATTACCTAAGTTTCGTTTTCCTATAGTCCGTTTGGCTCAAAATCGGACCGATGAATTGCAATCTAACTCGAAAACAACTAAACATAGAATACTCATTGAAACAGTAATCATAATCATAACATCAGACCAACTCTGTGATTTTTTTTGCAGAATTTATGACCTAAAAATACAAAAGTTGTTTATCGAACTATCATTAAAATTTTGACACAGTTAACAATTTGTTACGAGGGAGGACTGCAAAGGGAGGAACAGCCAGGTGTACGCGAGGCCCGTGCACAAGTGCCGACAAAGTCATTGATTCATTAACCTGTGCTGTGCCGTCTCCATCCTTTTTAGCACACCTGGCTGTTCCTCTCTTTGCAAATCCCCCCCCCCTCGTAACAAATAGTGAACTGGGTCAACATTTTAATGATAGTTTGTTAACCAACTTTTATTATTTTTAGGACATAAATTCTGAGAATAAATCCCCACAGAGTTGGTCTGATGTTTTGATTATGATCAGTGTTTCATTGAGTACTATATGTTTAGTAGTTTTCGAGTTAGATTGCAATTCATCGGTACGATTTTGAGCCAAACAGACTGTAGCAGACTTTCTATCCACTTGGCCATGTGACCGGAAAAGTAAGCACTACTATAAAGCAAGTGTAACCAGACAAGGGTTTGCGCTACACTGTGTAAACAAACATATTCCATCTAGCTCTTCACTTACTAATGTTCGGTGAAGTGCATTACATCAGTCCTCATCATGCAATATCTCTATCAGGTGAATTGTTGTTATGACACAGAGCAACATATTATTTTTAACGCCTTAACATTTGAAAAACGAGGTTTTCGCTGTAGTGCGTGGATCTACTCAAGAACCCGACATTAACCTACTGCCGACGGATATGTGATGGGGTAGTTCTGAGGTTCAGTATATATTTGAATTACCTTGAATGCCAAGAATATCCACCAGAATCAGTACGGGTGTACTTACTATGGAAATGGAACAAGAAAACCGACAGCAACCAAATTCACATTTAATGTCACATTCTATCCAAAATCGTGACATGATGTCACAGTTTTGTAGAGGGATTGAGTGAATAAATATAAGCGACAAAATCCTTCACGTAAGCATCCGACATATCTACTGAAGTATAGTCCCTTAATGACTGATTACTACCAACCCCGTAGGACCATACTCATGGTTCGATCACCAGGAACGACTTCACAAGTACCGATACCTGTTGGTCAAGTATTACCTTTCTAGTACTGATGCAGCTCATGCTTGCGAAATAAAATAGCGACGATGGCGCTCATATTCACATACTGCTTGATGGCATCATAGAATGATGCACCTGCATAATTTTTATGTACGTGTAAACATTTACTTCATGTGTTTATTATTGTTTTAGTTTGAAGAAACCAGACATCAGCTGTGTGAGGAGACCCGACAAGGACCCCTCTGTGGACATGATGATGTAGTCTGTGGATAACATACTGGAGATTGAGGCGTCTGTATTACATGAAGAACGGTGTAACAGAATAGACGTCACTCGTTGGGCCTGACATCGACCGAAGTCACGTCTTCAGACAATATCAGCAGGCCATCTAACTTAAGCTTGTAATTCACAATGGCATATGAGAAATGTATTCGATTTGGAAATAATCTCCTCAGATCCATGAGTCACAGCTTTTAAAATATAACAGACAGTTTCCTTCCAGCACGTGCAGCATCAAACACGTGGCCGCTCCGAGAGAAAAGAATTTTAAAATGACATATCATAAATAAAATATTCCTTGGAATTGTGTCCAAATTTGTACGATAAGCGCATTGCTCTCCGGTACGATGTGAACTTTGTTCTACAGTCATCCGCAGGGTGTAGTTGTGTTTCAAGCTTTATGGAATTCCGTGCCATTGTTTCCATTGGAAAAAAGTCGGAATATAAGATGATCCTATGCTTAGAGGATTCAAAAACTGATATGAGTTGAAGATGCATGAAGCTGAGAATCTGTTTCATTGAAATGTGGATATTCCAGATGTGTTGATGGATTAAGCCTGTACTCACTAATCTTGACAACAATTTGTGTCAGCCACACAAAACCAACGACTTATTGTCATATGCAGCTTATACTTCGTGCTCTAGCAATAGCCTGTGTGTAAAACTAGAAATTGGGTATTCGATGAAGCGGACAGCGACCGTGCGATGTTACACCTCTGCTGTGATTTCCATGAGCGGGGCGAGTTCTTGTCTCTGGCCGCCTGCCTGAGTTGAATTGCAAATGTGTGGCCTTTCTCTGATCGACAGACTTTTCAAACCACGGAGCAGACGACATAGGTTTGTTTCTTCAGACATGGCAGACGCGGATGTCTCTGAGAAGATCTCACTTCATACAATAGAGGAGGCGGAGGACGCCTCACACGAACCTCAAATACCGTGAGTACACTCACAAAGTACACATTGTTATAGAAAACAAATATATCTGCGTATCAGTTGCTTATGTCTGTTTGAGGAGTGTGTTGAATACAGAATGACACATCGGTGTCATGTAGTTTAGTCTTCCCAACATTGTTCGTGTCAGAATACAACACAACTAAAGGGAGTATTGATTTCCGACAAGAAGTTCAGGTTTATTGATAGATGAGTCCTACGTAGGAGCATAGTCATGCTTTCTATTCACGTAGATTTGAAGATATGATTGATCGTGATAAATCATCGCCTTGTGAAGGATTCACACACAATAGAGGTCATTAAATGCCATTGGGTAAAACATGAATGGTAGATAGAATTATATATATCCTTGTTTTAGTGAATGTTTCAGTCATAAATATATGTATGACACGAGAGAACTGTTGCCTCTTACTTGGGCTACATTTGTCAGAAACACAAAAGCCCCAGCTTTCGAAACAAATATGAGTTTAATTCTTTGAAGGGCATTTAGAAGTGGAATGCATAAGAAAAGCAAGATTTATGGATGTCAACTTCCTTATTGTGAATAACACGACGTTTCGGAGTGTATGCTTGCTCCTTCATCAGGTATATGCTTGCTCCTTCATCAGGTATATGCTTGCTCCTTCATCAGGTATATGCTTGCTCCTTCAATATTGTTAAATATGTTTTCTTTGTAGTCCCCCAATGTACGTATATATATCCCCCTCTTACTCCCTACCGACCCGTGAAGGTCCGGGTTAGAATAAATCTGCCGTAACCCAGCTCGTATCCCGGGCCAAAACGTACCAAACGCTGGTAATGTAGAAAGTATGTTTAAATTACTGGCGAGACACCTACATTCCGAGCTGTCTGGTTTTTGCAAATACTACCCGAAATGGTCATAAATTGATATTTAGTTAGAAAACATTGCAGTCTATAGATACATACACGATTTTACAAAAATTGAGATATTCAAGCTGGTTTTTTTCATCCTTGTATGAAGGGCCAAAACGTACCGAACGCTGGAAATGTAGAAAGTATGTTCAAATACTGGCGAGACCTCAACATTCCGAGATGTCGGGTTCTTGCAAATAACACCCGAAATGGTCATAAATTGATATTAAGGTAGAAAACATTGCAGTCTATAGATACAGAAACGATTTTTGCAAAAATTGAGATATTCAAGCTGATTTTCATTGTCGTAAGAGGCGACTAACGGGATCGGGTGGTCAGGCTCGCTGGCTTGCAATTGGTTGACACATGTCATCGGTTCCCAATTGCTGGATCACTGAATTGTCTGGTCCAGACTCGATTATTTACAGACCGCTGCCATATAGCTGGAATATTGCTGAGTGCGGAGTAAAACTAAACTCACTCACTCTTACTCCCTACCGTTCACCTGGTGAAGGGGCAAGCATACTCTCCGAAACTTCGTGTTATTCGCAATAAAGAAGTTGACATCCATAAATCTTGCTTTTCTTAAATATGAGTTTATAAGGGAATAGCCTTAACTTATCGACCGAGAAAGAAAATAGAAGATGGTGTTTGCTTGAGCGGGTATATTCAGGAATCTCTATTTGTTTCCACTCATTGTAATGTGTACAGTTGTCCTGTGAGTGGCATGCCACCTTGAATATGCAGGAAGATGATATTTCATCTTGATACTCGAAGCATTTGTAGTTTGTGTTACTTTCATGGTTTCTATCTGTTCCGTTGGTCGGCACCATTCATTCTGGTTGTTTTGCATTACTATGTTGCCTATCACGTCCAGATGGTCGAGACCAGCTCATAAAACAATTTACTTTCGTGTTTGTCTTTATTTTAACGAAATTAGTAAACGGGGATCGCGTCAATGGACACGTCAGATTATCTTGTCCATACTCGATTGTTTACAAGCCGACGTCGTATGGCAATAAACTAACATTTATTTTCTTATGCAAATTGTGTGAGTGGCAGGTCCTGGTGGAGAAGTATAGTATTACCCTTTTTGAGAACACTTGGTGTCATCAGAGAGTTTCAGTGGTCTTCTTTATTGCTCTTTTGCTTGTTCCCAATGGATCATTGTCTGTGCATATGGCGTGACTCAATTGTGTCTCGTGTGTTTAACAACGTAAGTAAATTCCTACATGATGGCACCTCTGAGTGCTGCTTCAATACCACTCACGTTCAGGAGAGTGTGTTGTAAGTTTTCCTTTTCTCGTCACCATTCTGAAAGTCTGATTGAGATGTGTATTTGTTTGACATCTTGTCTCACGTCCGACACACATTTCCTGTAGACATGTTGCAAATGCTGAAAACAAGGCCTCAGACGTAAACCGATCTTGTCCCTGCCGTACTGGCCAGCGGGAACAGTTTTGAAATTCGGAAATTAGGGTTGTCACTGTAGACATGGGAAAAAGAATAAAACTGACAACAATACATGCTTGAGTGATACGCAATCTCTTATATAGAGATTTGGGAACGGGCAATACCAGCTAATTTGTCATCATATTGTCATACCAGTCATTGCACTAGTTACCGTTAAATGACATGTCATTGTAGCGACCACGAACAGTAGATAATAGAACACAGTGATGACAAGGCAGGTCTGGCTTTAATGTGTGTTTTTATTTTCTTAACTGGATAGCGGTAGAAGCAATGGTGCCAACACAAATTGTAAAATAACAATAGTTTATTGGACTTGTTTATACATAATTGAAATGATGTTTTTTTTCTGTGCCAACTAAATGTAACCTATAGTTTGTTAAACTCTACTGTGAATGTGTCTGGATATCCATGTTGCATGTTAACTATTGTCCAGCGTTTGTGAAACCCTATTTCTAACGCGTATGATTACTCTTGTTATATGTCAGCCATAAATAGTCTGCAGCTTCCTTTAAAAACGCTTCTTGAGAAAGTTTACACCGGGTTTACCGGACTAAAACGTACTGCAGATTTCATTCATGGAACATCCCTACAAGTCAATGCCTCGTCATCTACTCCCACATTACGTTATGTTCCTGTTTTGTAATCCTCTGCATACCAAGAAGCGGCGCTTTCCTCCTGATTTTTTTTTTAAAATCTGGTGTAGTGTAGATTTTCGGGTCCATCGATTACTGGATTGTTTGGTTGGTTTCAGACACTTTCACATGGCAGCAGTACATTAATGCGGTGTCAGACTATACTTACCTATCTGCTTGCCAACTGTTGATGGGGGTGCTACCGTTTAGGGCAGGAAACGCTTACCCTTTTAGCGAACACGTGATGACATCACTGATTTTCAGTGACCCATTCATATACTTCTCATAGCTATTAAGTATTTTGTGCCCAAAGAAATCTCGTTTATACATATTTTATGTCCAAAGGAAATATGGATTGGTAAACAAGCAAAATACTTACATCGATACCGTTCAAAGAACAATATACACACTTATCTAAACATGTGACAAGAAAAATGTATAGGTCAACAGAGTAAGACTTCTTCTGAGCTGGTGGTGCCAACGTGAAACAGGTTTGCAGATTGGAACTTTACGTTGACAGATAGAAAAGTATAAGTAAGATCCCGATTAACTCGTGTACATAATTGACGTGGTGTTTTTAATGCTATCAAGAGGTATGTGCACTTAGTTAGCGAGCGCAGAATGTCCGTAAATTTGTCAACATTTGCAAGGTTTGTCTCACCTCTGCAGCACTTACATGACATCCTTTGACCCCAACCGTATTCAGTGGTACAGCACTGCCCTACAATTTGAATGGGCCTTGAAAACATGTTGCATGAGTCCTGAAAAGCCGAGATGAGCGGTAGGTGAGTGTCTGTACCTTGTAGGACGGGAAGGCATTCTTTGTAGCACATAAGGAATCTGCCTGTTGGATTAGAGGACGCTGTAATACGGACGACATTCTTTGTAGCACATAAGGAATCTGCCTGTTGGATTAGAGGACGCTGTAATACGGACGACATTCTTTGTAGCTCATAAGGAATCTGCCTGTTGGATTAGAGGACGCTGTAATACGGACGACATTCTTTGTAGCACATAAGGAATCTGCCTGTTGGATTAGAGGACGCAGTAGGACGGAAGAACATTCTATGTAGAAGATAAAGAAACCGCATGTTAGATTAGTGGACGCTGTATGACGGGTGGTCATTCTTTGTAAAAGATAAGGATACCGCCTGTTAGATTAGAGGAGGCTGTAGGACGGGAGGTCACTGTGTGACCTTTATTAAATCCGAAACACAACAACATACGAAAGTATTTGTAAGTCTTTTGAGGTGATTTGGCCTTTCGTCAGTAACTGATCTTCAGCGCTTCTCTTTGCCAAACACACTTGTGCAAGATGATCTCAGCTGTCCATCATATCGCGTCTGAAGCTGATGGATGCCTGTTGCTGCTGATTCTCTCTGACAAGATGTTATTTCAGAAAAGGAGGGGTTTAAGCTGCGACTCAACATCAGGAATCTCTGATGACCAGGGAATCGATGACCTGTCAAAGACAGTATCCTTCAATCCTTCATTACGCCGTGATGAATTTATATCCACTAGATTTGCATGCGACGTACACAGTAGATTTAGGGATTTGTGTGAATACTTCCTACAGATACAATTATTTATGATGTGTGGTTTTAGTGATGTGGAGAATGGCATGTTTGTGAATAGGATATTTGTGACATCCTTACAATATAGCGCCTGTACGAGCCGCGACCTATGTACACAACAGGCTGTGGACAATTTATGTGTGGATGTGAAATATCCATCAACAACAAGTCTATATGCAAGATCTATCTTGTGATGTCGGAAAACAAGATATATCGAACGCCTTTATTACGTCCGATTTCTGTGTGCTTTATACTGTTTTGCTAGTTTTAACTGCTATCGATAGTATCCATTTTTCCTTCTAAACCCTTTTGTTGTATCATAATTTTCACGGGAGTATTCAGAATAACAAAAGTCTGCTTTACCCAAATCGGTTATAGTAAAGGCTGGTAATGGTATTCCAAACATCTGTTAAATTTATTTAATTTTTTTTAGGCGTGAGTTGTAATCGTGTTGATTGACCAGCCGTGTACAATTACCATACACTGTAACAACAAATGGGTAATCGTGGCTCCTTCCTAGTAATCCATGTAATTGCAGATGGCGAGAGAGACTGGCCGAGTTTCTGAAGACGAACAAAGTGCAGTACGTGATCATCGCCCTGGTGGTACTGGACAGCCTCATCGTCGTCTTCGAGATGCTTATAGACCTCGAAATCATCGTCAGTAAGTTCCCCTCGTCATTGGCATAAATCTCGAGATCAATTTGTGTAACTTCTCATAATCATTGGCATAGACAAGAGATCATAGCTTTACGTTCCTCTAAGCATTGAAATGTACCTGACAATCATTTAGTTCCCTTATCCTTGCTACAGACCTTGTGATCATCGTCAGTAAGTTTTCCAATCCTTGCTAGAAACTTTGTGATCATCGTCAGTAAGTGCCCAATCCTTGCTAGAAACTTTGTGATCATCGTCAGTAAGTTTCCCAATCCTTGCTAGAAACCTTGTGATCATCGTCAGTAAGTTTCCCAATCCTTGCTAGTAAAATTGTGATCATAGTCAGTAAATTTCCCAATCCTCTCTACAGACTTTGTGATCATCGTCAAATTTCCCAAATCCTTGCTAAAATAGACCTTGTGATCATTCGTCAGTTTCCCAAATTTCCCAACCTCCTCTTCGTCAGCCCCAATCCTTGCTACAGACCTTGTGATCACCGTAAAATTTCCCAAATCACTAAGATAGACCTTGTGATCCTCGTCAGTAAGTTTCCCAAATCACTAAGATAGACCTTGTGATCCTCGTCAGTAAGTTTCCCAAATCACTAAGATAGACCTTGTGATCATCGTCAGTTAGTTTCCCAAATCACTAAGATAGACCTTGTGATCATCGTCAGTAAGCTTCCCAAATCACTAAGATAGACCTTGTGATCATCGTCAGTAAGTTTCACTAAGATATGGGGCACTGCTTGGCATGAGCATATGTTGGACTCGTGCAGAACCGATCAGTGCTGACAGTCAAAGACATTACTTGTTGGCGTTCACAAGAATACTCTTAGCAGCTACTTGATGTTGAACACAAACACGCTGGCATCGGTTCTCCAGAAAACCAACATTTCAGTTAATTATGTAACTCTTTCTAAGTTTGATGTTACGAATACCGGAATATCAGTTGCTGACGGCCTTTAGAACAACAAAACCAAAAACAATAACTCTCTCTCTCTCTCTCTCTCTCTGTCTAAATTATCCCAACTTATCTAAACCTTTATTTCCTAAACTGCTCTTAGACCACTGTATGTACCAAGGTCACAGTGTGCTGTTATTTCTGCTGTCGCTTTTAGCTACGAGCAATCTAATTGGCAGAGATCGGAAATGCGACGTTTTTTGATTGGTTTGTTATTAGAACCAAAAGCGAAAGAAGACTTGAGACGGTACCAAAACTAACCCCCAAGGATTTTACCTCCTTCTCTCTGAGAGGAGGATTTCGCTTCAGCTAGCTGGAGAATTATATCAAATAGACTAAGAAGTCTTGACGCCGGCTACTGTTACACCGTTGTCATGGTAACAGATTACGTAAAATACTAATCAAAATACAGCTCTATTTGATTCTTGCAAGCTGCACACATCTTGTAAATAAAGTACATGTATTTCTGGAATAACTGTGAAGCTATGCTTTGTTATTAAACTGTTGTCGCATTGACAACCTCTTTGAACTTCGACTGAAGCATCAGAACACAGGGGTAGATAGAATTGTTGTTTGTGATAAAAGACGGCAGGCGCACATCACTCAAGACGTATTTTGCAAGACTGCCTGCCGCGGGTGAAACCGATCGACTTTCATGCCCCTCCCAAAACAAAGCCCTATAGTCTCGGGCCTCTTAAAGAATATCTTATTACAAAGACTATACACATCAACATCCTTAATTACTTACAAGGAGTACAGGAGAGAAGTTGTTTTGATTGCATGTGGTGGTTTGATAGCATTGTGGTGGTATGAGAAGTGGGATGGCTTGTGGTGGAGCGTGAGGTGGTTGGATGGCTTGTAGTGGAGCGTGATGTGGTTGGATGGCTTGTAGTGGAGCGTGATGTGGTTGGATGGCTTGTAGTGGAGCGTGATGTGGTTGGATGGCTTGTAGTGGAGCGTGAGGTGGTTGGATGGCTTGTAGTGGAGCGTGATGTGGTTGGATGGCTTGTGGTGGAGCGTGATGTGGTTGGATGGCTTGTAATCAGTGGAGCGTGATGTGGTTGGATGGCTTGTAGTGGAGCGTGATGTGGTTGGATGGCTTGTAGTGGAGCGTGAGGTGGTTGGATGGCTTGTAGTGGAGCGTGATGTGGTTGGATGGCTTGTAATCAGTGGAGCGTGATGTGGTTGGATGGCTTGTAGTGGAGCGTGAGGTGGTTGGATGGCTTGTAGTGGAGCGTGATGTGGTTGGATGGCTTGTAATCAGTGGGCGTGATGTGGTTGGATGGCTTGTAGTGGAGCGTGAGGTGGTTGGATGGCTTGTAATCAGTGGAGCGTGATGTGGTTGGATGGCTTGTAATCAGTGGAGCGTGATGTGGTTGGATGGCTTGTAGTGGAGCGTGATGTGGTTGGATGGCTTGTAATCAGTGGAGCGTGATGTGGTTGGATGGCTTGTAATCAGTGGAGCGTGATGTGGTTGGATGGCTTGTAGTGGAGCGTGATGTGGTTGGATGGCTTGTAGTGGAGCGTGAGGTGGTTGGATGGCTTGTAGTGGAGCGTGAGGTGGTTGGATGGCTTGTAGTGGAGGGTGATGTGGTTGGATGGCTTGTAATCAGTGGAGCGTGATGTGCATGGATCATAACTGAGAGGTGGTTTGGTAGCATGCATCAGGAGTGAGAGGTCGTTTGTTTGCATGGATCAGGAGTGAGAGTTGGTTTGGTAGCATGGATCAGGTGTGAGAGGTGGTTTGTTTGCATGGATCAGGAGTGAGAGGTGGTTTGTTTGCATGGATCAGGTGTGAGAGTTGGTTTGGTGACATGGATCAGGAGTGAGAGGTGGTTTGGTGACATGGATCAGGAGTGAGAGGTGGTTTGGTAGCATGGATCAGGTGTGAGAGGTGGTTTGTTTGCATGGATCAGGAGTGAGAGGTGGTTTGTTTGCATGGATCAGGGGTGAGAGGTGGTTTAGTGGCAATATTAGGAGTCAGAGGTGGTTTGTTTCCATGGATCAGGAGTGAGAGTTGGTTTGTTTGCATGGATCAGGAGTGAGAGGTGGTTTGTTTGCATGGATCAGGAGTGAGAGTTGGTTTGGTGGCAATATTAGGAGTGAGAGGTGGTTTGTTTGCATGGATCAGGAGTGAGAGGTGGTTTGTTTGCATTGATCAGGTGTGAGAGTTGGTTTGGTGGCAATATTAGGAGTCAGGGGTGGTTTGTTTGCATGGATCAGGAGTGAGAGGTGGTTTGGTAGCATGGATCATAATTGAGAGGTGGTTTGGTGGCAATATTAGGAGTCAGAGGTGGTTTGTTTGCATGGATCAGGGGTGAGAGGTGGTTTGGTGGCAATATTAGGAGTGAGAGGTGGTTTGTTTGCATGGATCAGGAGTGAGAGGTGGTTTGTTTGCATGCATCAGGAGTGAGAGGTGATTTGGTAGCATGGATCAGGTGTGAGAGGTGGTTTGTTTGCTTTAATGGATGAGGTGTGAGAGGTGGTTTGTTTGCATGGATAGGGTGTGAGAGGTGAGAGGTGGTTTGTTTGCATGGATCAGGTGTGAGAGGTGGTTTGTTTGCATGGATCAGGAGTGAGAGGTGGTTTGGTAGCATGCATCAGGAGTGAGAGGTCGTTTGTTTGCATGGATCAGGAGTGAGAGGTGGTTTGGTAGCATGGATCAGGAGTGAGAGGTGGTTTGTTTGCATGGATCAGGAGTGAGAGGTGGTTTGTTTGCATGGATCAGGAGTGAGAGGTGGTTTGGTAGCATGCATCAGGAGTGAGAGGTCGTTTGTTTGCATGGATCAGGAGTGAGAGGTGGTTTGGTAGCATGGATCAGGAGTGAGAGGTGGTTTGTTTGCATGGATAGGAGTGTGAGAGGTGGATTTGCTCTTGCATGGATCAGGAGTGAGAGGTGGTTTGTTTGCATGGATAGGGTGTGAGAGGTGGTTTGTTTGCATGCACTCAGGAGTGAGAGGTCGTTTGTTTGCATGGATCAGGAGTGAGAGGTGGTTTGGTAGCATGGATCAGGTGTGAGAGGTGGTTTGTTTGCATGGATCAGGAGTGAGAGGTGGTTTGTTTGCATGGATAGGTGTGAGAGGTGGTTTGTTTGCATGCATCAGGAGTGAGAGGTCGTTTGTTTGCATGGATCAGGAGTGAGAGGTGGTTTGGTAGCATGGATCAGGAGTGAGAGGTGGTTTGTTTGCATGGATCAGGAGTGAGAGGTGGTTTGTTTGCATGGATCAGGTGTGAGAGGTGGTTTGTTTGCATGGATCAGGAGTGAGAGGTGGTTTGTTTGCATGGATCAGGTGTGAGAGGTGGTTTGTTTGCATGGATCAGGTGTGAGAGGTGGTTTGGTGACATGGATCAGGAGTGAGAGGTGGTTTGCTGACATGGATCAGGAGTGAGAGGTGGTTTGGTGACATGGATCAGGAGTGAGAGGTGGTTTGGTAGAATGGATCATAATTGAGAGGTGGTTTGGTGGCAATATTAGGAGTGAGAGGTGGTTTGTTTGCATGGATCAGGAGTGAGAGGTGGTTTGTTTGCATTGATCTGGTGTGAGAGTTGGTTTGGTGGCAATATTAGGAGTCAGAGGTGTTTTGTTTGCATGGATCAGGAGTGAGAGGTGGTTTGTTTGCATGGATCAGGGGTGAGAGGTGGTTTGGTAGCATGGATCATAATTGAGAGGTGGTTTGGTGGCAATATTAGGAGTCAGAGGTGGTTTGTTTGCATGGATCAGGGGTGAGAGGTGGTTTGGTGGCAATATTAGGAGTGAGAGGTGGTTTGTTTGCATGGATCAGGTGTGAGAGTTGGTTTGGTGGCAATATTTTGAGTCAGAGGTGGTTTGTTTGCATGGATCAGGGGTGAGAGGTGGTTTGGTGGCAATATTAGGAGTGAGAGGTGGTTTGTTTTCATGGATCAGGAGTGAGAGGTGGTTTGTTTGCATGGATCAGGTGTGAGAGGTGGTTTGTTTGCACGGATCAGGTGTGAGAGTTGGTTTGTTTGCACGGATCAGGCAATGGTTAGGAGTCAGGAGTCAGAGGTGGTTTGTTTGCATGGATCAGGAGTGAGAGGTGGTTTGTTTGCACGGATCAGGGGTGAGAGGTGGTTTGGTGGCAATATTAGGAGTCAGAGGTTGTTTGTTTGCATGGATCAGGAGTGAGAGGTGGTTTGTTTGCATGGATCAGGGATGAGGTGGTTTTAGTGGCAATATTAGGAGTCAGAGGTGGTTTGTTTTGCATGGATCAGATGAGAGAGTTGGTTTGTTTGCATGGATCAGGAGTGAGAGGTGGTTTGTTTGCATGGATCAGGAGTGAGAGGAGAATTTGTGGTGTAATATGAGGAGTAAGAGATATTTAGGTCCGTGGTCGAGGAAAGTTGACTAAATGGTGGAGATATTCTGGGGGAACTTAAATTTGATTTGAGTTATTAATTGAGTGAGCTGCACGGAGCCAGGACATAACTCCCTTCCTCATTTTGCCAGTTCTACCAAAGCAATATCTAAACATTGTATCTTTAGTAATATCATATCATATATTTTCAGTTCCGGACAATGGCCCAGTTGAGACTCATATCAATGCAACACATACCAATCACACGGCAGCCTGGTACGAAATGGGCGTCTACAATGAGACGGAACACCACGGACTTTCCCGGAGAATGACAAGATCAACTGAACATCATTCTGGAGACAAATACGTGCACATAAAGGACACGAATGCAACAGACAATCATTTTTATATCAATAGCAACGATACTCAGCATCATGTACACCATCAACATCATCATCACAGTAACAAAGAAATTGTCGAACATTCGCTCCATTACGCTAGCTTGACAATATTAGCTATATTTGTAGTGGAGGTAGGTGCATCTACATGTCTTGACAACGTGGCTTCAGTTACTGAAGGCATCATCTCGTTTCGAACGGATTATATTTTAACATTTTATCTTTTTCTGATGTCACAAATGTAATTCTATTTATGGGAGCATGGTTTCTCCTACTTTTTTATTCTAAATGAAGATATGAAACATTTCCTCCCATGTTCAGTGACAGATCTAATACAATGCGGTTATACTTTCAGGTTATATGTAAAATAATAGCTGAGGGAACACATTTATTGAAACATAAAGCTGAGGTAGGTATTCCTAGCTTACTTTGCATGACTTGTAGTGAGTGAATGAATTGGTGTGTTTGAACAGTGTAACATTTATGCCACGGGCTGTGAGATTGATGTGGAGAGGCCAGCTCTGTGTTGACAGACAAAGAAACAGAGACAGGCGAACCGGGATTCGAGCCCATGATCACGGGTATACGGGACAAAACTCTGCACAGCAAATTAGGTAGCATCATTTTGATTTGTAAGGGAGGGGCGTGAATAGTTTGTGAGAACAATATATTTGTATCGTAGTTTCATTTGTTCTGATAGTTTGATTTCAAGAAAATATTGAAATTAAAAACTAATATGGAAAATTCAAACTATTCATATTTTCAGCACTGACAACAAACTATTCACTTCGGACATATTTTTGAACAAACTATTTATTTACAAAATGTCTCAGAGACATTAAGTGGATTTTCCCATGGGTGACTGGCTGATCCATCTTCCTTGCAACACAACAGTGTTAGTTTGTGTAGTGTACAGACAGAACTAGCACTACATACATGTTCCTGTAACAGGGTGACGGTTTAACACACAGGCATGTTTACATATTCTTACCCATAAGGAAAGCAGGATAGAGGTAGTAAATATTCTGTAATGCTTCCCGGAATTACAGGCTTTCTAACTCGGTCTTTATTTTCTTTGCTCCTTTCATTCGTTCGTTGTTTCATCTACTCGCCTATATGGAATGAGAGATGTCATAACTCTGGATTCTGAATAAATACCGACAAATAGTCCGTATCCATCCATTACCCTGTGGGAAGCATGTCTTGTTTCGACTTGTTGATGAAAACGAAAATTGGCTTACGTTGTAAGTTTATGCAAACCCGTGAGACCCATTTCAACCGACGTTCTCTCACTCACCGATGTTGACACGTACCAACATATTTACATGTATTTGTTAAAAGGTAACGAGTGAAATGCAACATGTTTCTTGAATTAAGCGTGCTGTTATATTTGTAATGTATGTGACACTAAGGTACTAACGTGGAAGCTACTATTAGCGAGTTATCTTACACAATCCAGTCGTGGAGACAGGTGTGTGGGGACGTATTTGTTTTGGGCTTACAGACACAAAGAAATCTTCAAGGTGTTTAGGATTGGATATGGAGACATCTGTTGTAAATTTGATGATTGGCAAGGATGAGAATAACCGACGAATAGGAATCACAGTTTATCTTTCCTTTGGGACTTACTGTCGGGCTCGCCAGATGACATCACATTACTTCCTTTGGAAAGATAAACCATAATTCCTCGTAGCCCTAAGTTATTATCATGCTAGCACCAGCTGCACAAGGCAGATGCAAAGACAACTTTGTTCTCGTTCTCCGCACCGACATACCACATGTGGCAAAATATCCAGGGACGTTCTTCAACCCCTGTGTTACCTTGACCAATGAGGCATTTGAAACGGGCGCAGTTAACGGTGGTCTTTAAGAAATACCAATGCTGCATAGCAACAACATTTTGATACCCTACCCACTTGTAAATCTGAATTATTTGGTTCATTGTTTATGCTTCTGAAACAAGAGCTGTGTGGAGTTTGCCTTTCATGTTCTCAGCGTCTGTTCCAGAATCTCCCCCATCAGCACTGATTTGATAGCAACACCTCGAGTGATCACGCGTGCCATGTCGACATTTTCTCTATCGCATATTAACACAGATTTCCTGAAGCCATAAACTCAGTGTAGTCTCGGCCTGATCATGTCAGCAGCGGGTAGACAGGAACCTGGTTTTCCTACCTATTAAACTGGAGTTGCGGTGGTCGACCATCATGATGCATGGTATCGATTGAAAGCGGACTTGACATTAAAATTACGAGACAGTCTCTTGGCAAAATGCAGTAATATGTCCTTATTTGACATAACCTGGCAACAGCGGGTCACGCTGACCTAGTAGCCATTGGACCATGCACAGTGGGTATCTTCTTCCCTTTTGTCAACACTAGAACATCTCTTTGTGTTGAGAGAAGCATGTCCGTGGTGTACACGCGTAATCTCAATACAACTACAAGAGCGTTGGTCGTCAAATATTGCAGAATTCCTGCAGAATAGAGTCGTGGGCATTTGAATGCCAATGTTTTAGTGTTTATGCTTTGGGAAAGTGTCAGTGTCTAGTGGTACAACTCATGGCCATTCTGTGATATATATGATATATGAAAAGGTAAAATTTTGATGCGCCGTCGGTCAGAGCCTGTAACGATCATTACATCGTTCTTAAAATATTTTCCAGAATATAGTTGACATGTCAAATATCTGTACTTTAGAAACACCTTTGAATGTCTCTGCTGCATTTTGGATTCTATGGTAAGGAGGTATCGTTTCCATTGCTCCGCCCCAGCAGGACAATGGCACATGTCAGGGAGAGACGGGTGTACTTTATAAACAGCGGTGTTGAAAGCAAAACCTTATTATACACATCATTTCGTTCAGTTATCTTCTTTAAACATTATATCGAGAATGTAAAATCACTTCTGCTCTCATCTAAAACAAATACGAGCTTATTGAACCACAACCTTTGTCCAACTCGGTTCACATCCAATGTACATGCCTTGTCTTCATCAGTTATATGATAGACATCGCACGTAACATGTAACATGTAACCACCTCTGTCCTAATGTGTGTTGTTGCCGTAACGGATGTCCCAATGCATGTGGATTTTGCCGCAACAGTCAAGTAACTCTACATGTGCTTGTTAATTTCAGGTGTTCGATGCCATCATCGTTCTAGTCCTTTCGATGGACACGCTTTCTCCTTCGTGTCTGACGTCAGCAGCACGAGACGCGGCAGGGGCTCATGGTTTTGCCTCAGGTTAGCGGAGAATAAATAAGAATAATAAATGGTATTCAGTTATACTTCTTGGCGTGTGTTCCAGTAGATTGAACTAGATTGGCAAATGTGATTGTTGACATAGTAAATGTGAATATTAAGGAGACCTGTCAGACAAATACTACACTTGTGTGTAGGGGATTCCTGCTGAGAATAATGCCAACTAGGCCAATAATGGGTAATAACCACCAAGTCAAGCCTATAACTGCTATACGTGGATGTCTCTAGAAGAAGCCTTGACACGTACGTATCGCAATGATCCACACGCTGATTGTATTCCCTTGCCTTGAGATTTGCTGTGAATTATAAAACATAAACTATTTGGACAACAGGTGTTATAATGTCTGTGAAGCTGGACGCAGACAAGAAGATCAATGAACAGAAGATAGCTAGGCCAAGGGAGGAGGAGGTGGGGAAACTGAGACGTCAGGTCGATACGCTACAAGTAAGTTCACTCATTGATTTGCCTTTTGGGGACTTGTCGTGATGGCTTAGCCGTAAGACTCCAGACATGAATGAAGATTGGATATTTGACATACAATGTAACTTAAGTCATTAGTAGTAGCTATTGGGGTCACTATGAACTAGGTCGGAGGAACATTGCGGAAAAGAGAGTTCCCTTTGCTAGACTATATTTGGTAATATATTCGCATGACAATATTAACAGTGCCATTTATACAGGATCCCAAGGATAACAGCTTCTTGATTAGTGCATTTAGTCAACTGATTCACCAGGAGTTTCTCTTTCATAGCTTGCTTAAAAAACTGAATTTGACTCAGACACCCAAGATGAAATTAAAACCAATTAGATGATTATCGTTATTACAAGACCCACACAAAGGATACTACAACCTACCAGCCAACGACAGAGGTATAACAATTCTAGTCCTTTTGGTACATTCAGTCTGTCCTACTCACATAAGAGATTACAGTTTTGGGGTGAATTATGTGATAAATTTTTCGAATTCCTGGTCGGCTTTCTACTCACTAACAATCATTTTATACTGCAAAAGCGAGGTAAAGTGTACCCACCCTTTTGTAGTTTTTTCACTCTTTAGACTCTGTTGATAGATCTAAATTGGGGAGCGAATGAAACGTGCACGGGGGCTCACCAGAAATGTATACAAATAGCCATTCTGGTCATACTGATGTTATCTTCTGTGTTAAATATATAAAATATAGTTTTTGTTTAATATAGTTCTAAATGACTTGGTTCTAGAAACAGACTCAGCTTTGTTAGGGAGGCATTCAGATCGATCCAGAGCTTCCCCTGGGCGACTCTGAGTAGGGCTGAAAAATGGCATTATGGAGATGTTTACTTTCTTTCTGCGTTTCTCTAAACAAATATCTTGGTTTATCGTTCTCAACAACACTTTATACCCGTGACGGTCCAGGTTAGAATATTGATCTTCAGTAACCCATGCTTGTCGTAAGAGGCGACTAACGGGATCGGGTGGTCAGGCTCGCTAACTTGCGGACACATGTCATCGGTTCCAAATGCGCAGATCGGATGCTCATGCTGTTGAGCGCTGATTGTTCAGTATTTACAGAGCGCCGCCATATAGCTGGAATATTGCCTGAGTGCGGCGTAACACTAAACTCACCATCACTTACTAAAATAATTTATAATCAAATACTTTTAACCTCCTATGTGATGCGCACTTCAGGCTAAAAAGTGCTGTGTTGTATCATAAAAATCTCTTATGAAAAACTAATCGATGTATTTATATATACATGCATTTATAGACAATATAGCCTTTAATTGAAATTCTAATCTCTGCCCCTGCATACCGTATTATTTACGTTATTTACCGTATATGCATACAAATACATTTGCAGCGACAGAGATGAAGAAACTTGGTGGACCGACTGAAACAGTACTGAATCTGATGGCGATGTGAGGAGAGCCACCCGTGACAAGACAATACAAGGGACAGCACAGAACTGTGACGGCACAGTATTACCTACATGAAAGTACGTACACAATATGACAAGATAGAAGCGGCAGCGACATGCAGAACTGCGTGATCATAACAGTAATACTCCACATGAAAGCATGTACATACAACATGACAAGATAGAAGTGGCGGTGGACATACAAACACTTGTGGACGGTAACAGTATTACCTGGCTACGAAAGTATACATGCGTACACAATATTGACAAGATAGAAGTGGCAACGGACATACAGAACCGTGACGGCGGCCAGTAATACTCTACATGAAAGTACAGCGTACAGCTACAACATGACGTACATAGAAGTATGGCGGACATACAGAACTGGTCGACGGCACAGCCACCTACAAAGCAAGCGATGCATGCGAAACATGACAAGATATGTGAAACCGTGCGGTACAGCATTACCTACGCTACGCGTACGTCCAACAAGCGATGATTAGGAGCGGTAGAATACGCAGAACTGTGACGGTACAGCATTTATCTATAATGGCGCATACAGTACACAAACAAGGACACAAGATAGGTTATGGCGGACCATACAACACTGCGAGGACGGCACAGTGCATTACCTACATGAAAGTACATGTACATACAAAACAGACAAGATAGAAGCGGCAGCGGACATACAGAACCGCGAGACGGTACAGTATCACCCACATGAAAGTATGCGGTCCAACATGACAAGATAGACGTGGCGTTTTAATACAAGAACCGACGGTACTAGTACACCTACATGAGCATGTATACAACATGACAAGATAGAAGCAGCGACATGCAGAACCAGGACGGTACAGCATTACCGGCATGAAAAGTGCATACAACATGATGAAGATAGAAGCAAGCGGCGGAAGATACAACACCGTGGACGGTACGTTACTACCGTTAAGGCGGACATACAGAACTGTGACGGCATTGTGGTGAAGCAGGTGAAGGCATGAACAATTTTCCCGCTGCTACAAATATGACAAGATAGAAGTGGCAGCGACATACAGGAAACCGTGACGTTACAGTATTACATGCATGTCTACAAATATGCCATGATGATGAAGCGTATTGACATGCAGAACTTCGTGAATGCTGCGGTATTACCTAAAGCGTGCATGTACATACAACATGAAGATAGAAGTGGCGGCGGACATACAACACTGTGACGGTACAGTATTACCTTACGATGAAAGTATGTAACATACAAAAACGACAAGAGATAAGCGGCAGCGGACGATACAGAACTGTGGACGGTACAGTATTACCTACATGAAAGTATACGTGTCCAAATATGACACAAGATAACACGGCAGCGATCATACAGAACTGTAATGGTACAGCATTACCTACATGAAAGTATGTATACAAATATGACAAGATAGAAGTGGCAGCGGACATGCAGAACTGTGACGGTACAGTATTACCTACATGAAAGTATGTATTACAAATATGACAAGATAGAAGTGGCGGCGGACATACAACATCTGTGACGGCGGTACAGCATTACCCATTACGAAAGTATATGTACATACAACATGACAAGATAGAAGTGGCGGCGGACATACAACATCAGACGGTACAGTATTACCTACACGAAAGTGCATGTACATACAAATATGACAAGATAGAAGCGGTGGCGGACATACAGAACTGTGACGGCACAGTATTACTCTATATGAAAGTATGCTGCATACAAATACATGACAAGATAGAAGCGGTAAAGTGACATACAGAACTGTGACGGTACAGTGCATACCTATGAAAGTAGTGTCTACAAATATGACAAGATAGAAGTGGCAGCGGACATGCAGAACTGTGACGGTACAGTATTACCTACATGAAAGCATGTACATACAAATATGACAAGATAGAAGTGGCGGCGGACATACAACACCGTGACGGTACAGTATTACCTACATGGAAAGTATGTACATACAAAATGACAAGATAGAAGTGGCAGCGGACATACAGAACTGTGACGGTACAGTATTACTCTACATGAAAGTATGCGTCCAAATATGACAAGATAGACGTGGCAGCGGACATGGCTATAGAACTGTGGACGGTACAGTATTACATGAAAGTACGCATGTACATACAAATATGACAAGAAAGAAGTGGCAGCGGACATACAGAACTGTGACGGTACAGAATTACCTACATGAAAGTATGTGTACAAATATGACAAGATAGAAGTGGCAGCGACATACGAACACTGTGACGGTACAGCATTACCTACATGAAAGCATGTGTACAACATGACAAGATAGACGTGGCAGCGGGACATACGGTGAACTGTGACGGTACAGTATTACCTACATGAAAGTATGTACATACAAATATGACAAGAAAGAAGTGGCAGCGGATATTCCGAACTGTGACGGCACAGAATTACCTACATGAAAGTATGTGTACAAATATGACAAGATAGAAGCGAGCAGCGGACATACAACACTGTGACGGTACAGTATTACCTGGGCTACATGAAAGTACGTACATGCCAAAAATGACAAGATAGAAGTGGCAGCGACATACAACACTGTGACGGTGGTACAGCATTACCTACATGAAAGCATGTATACAAATACGACAAAATAGAAGCGGCAACTGACACGCAGAACTATGACGGTACAGTTTTACTCCAATTTTGCATGTACACATACAAAAAATGACAAGATAGAAGTGGCAGCGGACATACAACACTGTGGACGGTACAGTATTACCTACATGAAAGCATGTATACAAATATGACAAGATAGAAATGGCAGCGGACATACGGCACTGTGACGGTACAGTATTACCTACATGAAAGTATGTACATACAAATATGACAAGATAGAAGCAAGCAACGGACATACAGAACTGTGGACGGTAACAGTATTACCTACATGAAAGTATGCTATACAAACATGACAAGATAGAAGTGGCAGCGGACATACAGAACTGTGACGGTACAGCATTACCTACATGAAAGTATGTCTACAAATATGACAAGATAGAAGTGGCGGCGGACATGCAGAACTGCGTGACGGTACAGTATTACTCTACATGAAAGCGCATGTACATACAAATATGACAAGATAGAAGTGGCGGCGGACATACAACACTGTGACGGTACAGTATTACCTACACGAAAGTATGTACATACAAAAATGACAAGATAGAAGTGGCAGCGGATTACACAACACCGTGACGGCAACAGCATTACCGACATGAAAGTATGTATACAAATATGACAAGATAGAAGTGGCAGCGGACATACAGAACTGTGACGGTACAGTATTACCTACATTACCTACATGAAAGTAATGTACATACAAATATGACAAGATAGAAGTGGCAGCGACATACAGAACTGTGACGGTACAGTATTACCTACATGAAAGTATGTGTACAAATATGACAAGATAGAAGTGGCGGCGGACATACAGAACTGTGACGGTACAGCGTTACCTACATGAAAGTATGTATACAAATATGACAAGATAGAAGTGGCAGCGG